ATACGAATGGAATTTACGTCTTTTAGTTTTTCGAAAGATTTAAATTAGCATGTTTGAAGAGTGCGCATGTGCGAACGTGCTCTACTATGTAAAAACGAGCCAACTGTTGATTCTGGTAATAAAGTAAAACAACTGAGAACAATAAGAAGTAGTCCTCAGATGACATGTCTGTAATTTATATAAAACAAATCTAGCATTAATTGGATCTCAAACAGTTTCATTAAAAGTAGGTATTACTCCACCACGTCCGAAACCAACGTGGTTGAACGATACTTTGCGACAGTGGGTTTCGGGAAAAAATCGTGACTAGCTAGTTGATTTTTCCAACGACGCATCATACTATGGTAGTGAATCAGCGAACTACGTCGTTGTACGAGAAACGCACCCCAGAACAGTTTAGCAACCCGCTAGCAAATCCCAGAAAACAACCAACAACTTAGGAACTAAAAAGTACCTTAGCAACTCCTAGCAACGACACAAGTTTTAGAAACTCCATGGAAACCCCTCAAAACAACTTAGCAAGCCGTGGCAGCTACAATACAGCACTCTAGAAATGCATAGGAAATAAAACACGTTAGCAAATGTGAATTGTATGGAATGAATCATAGGGACATTTTTATCTGAAAATGTCAAAATCGAGTTAAATTTTTTAGAAAAAATTTACACATAAAAGCATTGTCCAACAAAATTAAATGTATTTGTGCTATTCTGCAAAGTAATTGTTGTGTAGCCTCGCTTCTGTAAGAACAACGAGGATATAAAGTCTTTGTGAAGTCTTTGAAAACTGGTACAGTCAAATCCCCAGATAGCTATCTGCCAGAGCAGCGCTTTATAGGCAGACTGTGTTGAAAGAGGCGAATGGGACATTTGTCAACATTAAGCCCTCAGAAAGCAAGGTCAGACATATCTCCACAGCTCTACTAACAACTGTCTTTCGCTCTTAATTAAAAAGAAATGCACAAAGGGAATGATGGACATTAAAACCTTGCAGTGATACGCACATTCAAACATCTGAACAGCTGGTAGATATGTATTTCTGCCTAATGGCCCAGAATTCAGCCAGCAGGCACAAGTGAGGACGTTCACCCTTAACTAGTCCCTCTGGAATAAGATGATCACATAGAACCATCCTACAGTCTGTCAGCAAAAACCATCGCTCAATAAGATAATCACCATGGCATTTACATTACCATTCAATATGCGTGATGGCTGAACAAAGTCCTGCTCTTTTCCAGTCACATGGCGTGATATAAATTGCACAATTATCTTGAACAATAAAAAGCATCTAAGAAAGATGGTCTCATACATATGCATTGAGAGCAGTTAATCTATTTTCACTTTCTTCATTTCTCACACACTTAAAGAGGTAAAATTATATTATCATAAAATATATTATAAAAAAAAACTCTATTAACACATCAGTCAAAATTATTAAATGTAATACATGAAAAAAAATAATTTTAGACTTGTAACAATATGGTTCCATTCCTTAACATTAGTTAATGCATTAGGTATCACAAACTAACAATGAAAATAATACAATAATTCTGAGGTATTAATCTAATTATTTTAATTTATTAATCTAATCTTAAGTTGTATAAATAAAGGAAACTTTAATGTATCATGAACTATGAACAATAGTACTTTTTTATAACATTAACCTAGATTAAAGCTGCAGTCCGTAACTTTTTGGGGTAAAAATTATTATCCCTTTTTTTTTTTTTTTTTTTTTTTTTTTTTTTTGAGCAAGTACATAACCAGCCAGTGTTCAAAACTATCTGCTCAGCTTAGCTTGATTCAAAATGTTAAGCTTGTAATAATGTTTTTAATTGAAGTGTTACTGGTGGATTTCCGCGGGAGATTCGAGCATGTCTTTGCGTCATTACGTCACATCTGTACACATAAAGGAGGAGTTTTGGCTAGTCAGCTATTGCGTGTGAAGATGTTGGAGGTGGAGATTTATAGCCTTTTCTCACAGCACTTGATATCAAGTCAGGTCAGGTCAAATATATTTATATAGCGCTTTTCACAATAGAGATTGTATCAAAGCTGCTTCACAGTATCAATCAAGACAACATAACAGTGTTTGTTTATTCATGAAAAAAAAAAAAGAAAATCAAGATTGGTAGAGCTGATCAATGGTATGATGGGTCATTTCATTTGAATATCCCCAACTAGGGCTGGGCGATATGGCCAAAAAATCATATCTCGATATTTTTTGGTCAAATGGCGATATACGATATATATCTCGGTACTTTCTACGTTTTCTATTTAGATAAAGAAAATCTTTATATTTAAAAAAAAAAAAAAATATATATATATATATATATATATATATATATATATATATACATATATTCACATTCGGCCCAATGATATCCTACAAACAATGTTGATATTGAAGGATATGGAAACAAATATAATATAGGCTATGCAATATTATGTGCAAAAAGCTTTTGTTTTTATATTGACTAAAGGCTAAACTAAAAATGAAAATAAAAACAAAAGCACAAACTAATTATATTAGCCTGCATTTGATTACCCCATTATAATCACTTTCACTTTCATTAAAAATATATACTTGTAGGTTTAAAATTCCACATATGGCACATTTATTTTCTCCAACAACAAATATTTTAGCAATATGTTTATTTTAGTCAGAATTATTGCATACTACGTAGTACTATTCACGCGCATGCGCGCGCCGGCGCTCGTTCAAGGAAGCATGAATTTTAGCGGAGATTCACTTGCAGAAACTCGTCCTCTTCTGACATGGACATATTTGTTGTGAAATGGACATATTTGCTTTACTTTCTAACTTTTACAGATGGAGAATATACCTGTGAAATGTACGTTGAGCACTGAGGAAAGCACCACATCTCAAACGCATTAAACAGCGCAAGTATATCTGTCAGTCAGCAACAGTGTCTGTCAGAGCATTTGACAGGGCGGCAAGCTGCCTTAAACTTGTTAAATATATCAAAGTGATTTTGACGCAATTAATATAGCTTGTGTCATGTTTAGGACAAATTGTACTACGTAGCCTAGCTACTTTCACTGCAGCAGCTCACACTGCAACCTCCGCTATTTTTCAGATGTGCTCATATCAAACTACTGTATCGATATAAACGGTATTGCCTCATTCCATATCGTTTCAAAAAATATAACGATACATCGTACAAACTCGATATATCGCCCAGCCCTATCCCCAACTGAGCAAGCCAAAGGCAACAGTGGCAAGGAACCAAAAAACTCCATCAAGTGACCCGATGGTGTCCTAAAACTCCATCAGATGACCCAATGGGGAAAAAAAAACCTTGGGAGAACCCAGGCTCAGTCGGGGGCCAGTTCTCCTCTGGCGTTTATGAACTAGAGGCCAAATTTACAGTAACTGTAAGATAAAAAATGTATATGAATGCCAGGCTAAATAAATGCGTCTTTAGTCTAGTTTTAAACTGGGAGAGCGAGTCTGAGCAACGAACGATATCAGGAAGGCTATTCCAGAGTGGAGCTAAATGTGAAAATGCTCTCCCTCCTTTGGTGGATCTGGATATCCTAGGAATGACCAGAAGCCTCGAATTTAGTGATCTTAAAGAGCGCGATGGATTGTAGGGCGATATAATTAAACCTATCAATTTGATGGCAGATCCAGAAAGATTCAAACGATAATCACAAGTGACAAGTAATTCACCCATTGTAAAATCCAAAAGACTTTGGACCTCGGAGTGGCTAGAGAAAAAAGGAGACTTCAACCGGCCCATGCGAAAACAAGGATGAATATCTAAAGGGATTTAAATGTATTCACGCAAAGCCGATGTTGTTAAAGGGCCCCTATTATGCTATTTTAAAGTATCCTAATGTTGTTGTGGAGTCTCCAACAACATGTTTAGATGCATCAAAGGTAAAAAAAAAAAAAAAACGGTTTAATTTCCTCATAATATATATTTGCACATCATCACTTTTTCAATGAATCTCAAACGACTCGTCATCCTCTAAATCGCTTTTTTCCGCAAGCTACTCTGCTCTGATTGGCCAGACAGCTCAGTCTGTTTTGATTGGCCTACCGCGTACAGCGCGTGCGTCAAAAACAAAAATGCCCATTGCCATGTCAGCTCTGCTTGTCCTGAGGCTTCCTACACTGTAAACTAGACACAGTAACGAACAATCACGTCGATTTGACCATATCAATGCGAGCGCGACTCCAATTATGAAACATGGAAGAACTCGTTATTCAACCCGAACCTCTATCGCAAGGACAACTTGAGCAGGACGTTTCTCAGTGATACACTACCGGTGCTCAGTATGAGGTACATAAGATGTTGCAACTGTAACTAATTCCTCACCATCATCAATAACAAGTGCATGTCCATCAACAAACCAATTCTTTTAGTTGTACTAATTTATTTACAAACTATTTTTCAAATATATTGCGGTGAACACATGGAAACTGTATCAATTACAGTGGATGCAGTTAACTGTTATGCAATATACAATAGCCAAGCTCTAGAGTGAATGATCTGATAAGCATTGGTAAAGCAAATATTTCCTCAAACTAAGTATTAGAATAATAAAAAAAAACTTTTACAGTTACATGCTGTTCACAGATTTTGCAATTTATGTGACTTTTTCGGTAAAATCCAGAATGTAGACTTTTTAAATCATCAGTTCTCTCAAAATATAGTACACACTCTCACAGGTCTCTATTTATTATAAATACTACTACTAATGTATTGCTTTTCCATCTGAGTTATGATATTGCACAAGGGCAATAACTTGCCTGCAGGGCTTGTGTCTGAATATCCCTGCATCATCAACCTTCATAACAGCTGGATTCACCAAATCTCGGATATTCTATGTGCGATCAACATCTGCAACCATCACAGTCTTGTTACCGGGACAATACGTCTCAGACAAAGACAAATCAAACTAAAGCTACGTAATTTAACAAACCCATAAACAGTAGAATTATTATAAATTGGGGGAATTAGAGGGTTTTAACTCACAGTGGATGTTGGCAGAGGAGTCTTGGGACCTGAGATACACCATCCAATATCCTGTGAGAACGAGACATAAACCTGGATGAGAGTAAAGCCTATGAAATTGTGTCTGATGGTAGTTGTGTATGCCACACCCATTCTCACTTTCACACACACACACACACACAAAATAGATGAGGGGACCCTCCTAGTTACAGCTCTAAATTGGGCGCAAGGCTGCAGGTCTCAAGGGCTGATGATGGTGTAACCCCACCTGAGTACACGGTGACGTCAAGACTCTCTTGATCTTGGGATTAATATCAACCCCTCAGTGTGTCTGTGCATGAGTAGAGGGGAGGTGCGAATTGAGCTCTGCAGAAATGCACGCAATCATTCCAAAATAATAATTTGATACATCGCATTTACAATAACATTGCTTCATATTGGAGAGAGTGCAATTCCGGGGAGCCAGACTCTGCAGGTGAGGGCTCGTCTGAAAGGCCAGTCTGCTTGCTGAAGGGGGGGCGGAAGGAAATGAGTAGTGATTAGCATGAAAGTCAGACAGAGTGGGTCCAGTTGACTTGAGTGTGTTATATCCATTTTCATTGTTTCCTTAAAGAATTGCAATAAATATATTCCAAAGATCCCAGGGTCCATCATCTAGAATGTTACGCATAAAATCATTCAGTTCCAAGAGCTGAGGGGAGACGCGTCCAAGTTAAGCATTCCTATTCCTTGGAACACAAAAGTGTTTTATTGCTTGAGCATGGTCAGGACAATAGAGAGCATATTTAAATGACATGAACTTTATGTATTCTTAATAAAATTTATATTGTTTAAAAATTGCCATTGGATGTAGAACAAAAGTAAAAAAAAAAAAAAACCGAAATAACCGCCCACTTCTTGTCGGTCAGCCATAAAAACTGCACAGAGCTCCAGTATAACCAATGCAACTGATATTGAAAATCATCATAATTTTGATTTATTCAAAATGTCTTATTTGGGAACAATAAGCATCTCTTAGTCTTTTAGTTCACTAAAAAAAATAAGATTTGATGGGACCCCCCACAAGAATTTATTTTTGGATTTTGGGGGGTCTCCGACAAATATTTTAAAGTCCCCGTGAACCGGAAGTTGCAAACGATTTTTCTCCAGTGCTGTGACGTATTTCCAAGTGTAACGGAATATTGAACAGAGGGCAGGGTTTTACTCTAGCGCTCCTCCTCTCCATCTCTCGCTCATAGCAAACTAACGGTTTGAGGGGAGTGGTTAAGCGTTTCCCCACCCAAACTGTGAAACCTACGTCATCAGAAAAAGAAACCGTTCCAGACCGGAAGTAACTTTTCAGATTTTGATTAAAGATTACCAAGGTAAAACATTTTTTTAATATATATTCACTTGCACGGATTAATTGTTCACCACAAGACTAGTAATATGCGCTAACAAAGTAAATAGGTTCAATTTTGATTTCACGGGGACTTTAACATTAAAAATAATTGTGAAAATTATAGGTCTTTAGTGACGTTTTATATTTTTAACATTCATTAATTTATTTACTAGCGCGAGGCAGCAATCAGTGCAGCTAACTATTAGCCGAATGCACGGAGTCCGGACAGTAACAAAGTTGTGCTGTTGAGGCTTGCGCAGTTATTTATAATATATAAAAACATGAAAAAAATTATATATAGCCTACACACGACCTCGAGTGCTGTTTTCCTGAATGCCATCACAATTGAAACCGATATTTACATTTCATAAGTTCAATAGACAAACGTTTAAAATAGCTCATAAGTTACTTACATTTTTAGACGCAAATTATGACTGTTTTCCTTCTGTTTCAGCAGCGAAAATAGTTCCAAACAACAGCGCATCTCAAAGCAACACTCACCCATGATTCATTACTGAACGAATCAGCATTTTGAACCAATCTCTCGAGTCAAAGATTCAATTACCCAATATAAAACCGCCTCATTCTGAATAAATCGGCCGTTTGAACGATTCGTTTAAATGAATGACTCAATGACTCGCTCATTAATATGACCGCATGCCGCCTCTTACTGGCGGTTTAGTTTCAAAGTATCACTCTTTTCAACATTCCTTATTTGTATATTAAAAATATTTAAAACAGTCTCATAATCTCATTTAATACAGTTATACATTTTACTACAAACATTTTAGGGGACGCACCCCCAAGAGGCCCAGTCATTGCCTGATTTGGCTTCAGAAGACCTGATTTGGCTTCAGTCCATTGCAATGTGGCACAAGTAGTATATTAAATGTACAGTCAAAATTTCTCAAAAGTAGCCACACATTATGTTAATCATCATAATTTGTGTTTCAGAAAAGAATAAAATATCTTATTTTTTCACAATTACAAACAAGGCCTTTTTTATTCAAAATGATTGACTTCAAGCTATTCATGGCTACTGGCACCTTACAGGCTTGTGGGGAAAGTTTGAGCTTCTGATTAATTTCCAAGCCTTGAACCTGATCCTTTTAATCAATGCAAGCTCATTTAAAAAAATAAAAATAAAAAAATAATAATAATATAACAGTCTTTTCATTTTTCATTACAGCCACTGGGGGAAATGATTTCCTTCAGAAAATGTTTACTGAGAAAAATATACTAAAGTTATCATATTTAGCCACAGTAAACAAACACATCATCATCTATCCCCCACCCCACCCCACCGCACCGCATTTTTATGGAGTCGTGGAACAGTCTATTGCAAAAATTGCAGAGCTAGTCTACAAAATATCATTAAAGCTTTATTAAACAGATTACTCCTGGAAATAAGAAAAGGACATCTGACTTGATGTCATTTATAAACGTAAGACTGAAAGAGTTTTATGTATAGTTTAATCAAACACACATTTGGTCTACACAGAAACACACACTCCGAATTCTCTCAGGGTCATTTCCTGTATCGATTTAAAACTGCACACACAAGGACATGACCTCTCCTGCGGCTCTCATAATGAACGAGGGGAAAAAAATGGGCAGGAAATTATTTTTCTGGATGAAAATGTTTGGAATTTTTCAGCACCCTCGCAATATTAATATGAATTAGTGCGGCAACACTAAATTAACATGAATATGCAATTTTCTCTACCCAAAAACATCCATCATTCCTGTGGCAGACCATGTAACCTTGACTTGTAAACAGGCACACAAAAAAAAAGCATTCCTCAACTAATAGTCCTGATTCTAGATTGAAGGGCATTTCTATGCACAAGCAGCATAACCTGGGGTCATTCGATTTGGATTACTTTAAAGAGCTGTCAGCCTGTGAGGAAATGCATTTCCTTTTTTAATAGTTCATATCTGCAGTCTAAAATATATGTGTCCTTCTCCACCTTAACATTTAACCTTCATGAGACATGCAACAGGCCAGGGAATTTAAATTTAGTTTCAACTTTACTCAAGTTTTGCATGCAATGGCATTTTCCCTGTGATTCATTGAGCCAGCAGCCCTTGGTGAAAATGCCAATTATTGACTGAACTAAAAGGAACTAAAAATGACAAAAGGAAAAATAAATAAATAAATAAATAAAAGTATAAATAAATAAATAGATGAAGAACTATAGTGAAAATAGATACATTTTGGTAATATAAATATCTATTTCTGTATTTTACATGTGTTTATTTATTTATTTATGCATTTATTTATGTATTTATAGATTTATTTATACATTTATGTATATATTTATTTATTTACATATATTTATTTATTTCTACATATATTTACTTATGAATTTCCACATTACTACATTTATTTATTTATGTATTTCCACATTTCTGAATTTATTTATTTATTTATTTCCATTTATTTTTCCCTGTGCCTAAATGAGTGGGGGGTGCCAACATCAGTCTGAAGCAGGATTGGTTAGAGCAATGATATCAATAAATAGATAAATACATGAAAAATGCAGAAATAGCCATTTATATTACTAAAATGTATTTATTTTCACTATATTTATTGTATTTATTTATTTATTTCTACTTTTATTTATTTATTTTTCCTTTTGTCATTTTTAGTCCTTCATATAATAGTCATAGATTAACAAAAAAGAGAACAAATTCTGTCATCATTTACTCCCCATCATATGATTCCAACCCTATACGTAGAACATTTTAGAAAAAAAAAAAAAAAACAAGATGGGTGGATGGATGGATATTGACTAAAGAAAAAGGCAAATATATATTTTTGTGCTCCACAGAATATGGAAAGTAACAAAGGGTTGGAATGACAAATACAGGGTGAGCAATTGATGACATTTTTAGGTGAACTATCCCTTTAAGCATTTAAAGGTTTTGTTGTCCTTCACATTTTTCAAGGAATAGGAACACTAGATATTTTATCAGCCCATATGCGAGTGATTACACAAAAACAGCATGTGAAAAGGAAAACAAAAAAACCCGATATCCTCCTATATTCCATCCGGAGCGATTGCTCTGTTTATTATTGCAGGAAGTCAGGCAATCAATGATGGGAAATAAGAGCTGCTTCAGGGCTGCACTGTCCAATAACATAGTACATATAGGTCTAATAAGGAACCATCATTGCGATGTGTGTTTATTGAATGCACTTCCGAAGATCAGGGGTATTACATAGTATCTGATGAACAAGGCTTTACTGTTCTATGACCACATTGAAAAGACTCATTATTCACCATACAAATACTTTCGTGTCAATACTTGTACTCCCAAAATATAAAAATGTTGTCATTATTTGCCAACCCTCCAAACATGTAGGTAATATTTTCTGTGGAACACAAAAAGAGAAAATCTGAACGATGCACATAAGTTCAAAGCGACTGTCAAGCTCTAAAATCACCAAAAAGTATTATAGAGTTAAAAGTAGAAAGGATGTGCCCAATTGGAATAACATGACATTGAATAAGGACAGAAATTTCATTTTTATGTGTACTACCGTAAATTAAACAAACATTTCTAGAAAATTTAAAGTAAGCACCTTCTACAGAAAAAAATCCTGATCCACCAGTGAATACCTGTCATATGTTCTCTCCCATCCCTCCACCTCGGTCACAGGATATCCTAACACAGGAAAAGGCTAAGTTGCCTTGACAACAGTAGCATGAATCATCCAGGGTTACTGTAGTATCCTGCTGAGGGCTTCCTGTACCGGACCATCAGGCTTCAGTCGATGACCTTTTATCTGCGGAACAGCATGATGGCCTGTGCAGTCTTTTCTTGTTCCTCCTGTCGGCACAGGGTGGACATCTGAATGTATTCAATATTTATATGACTTTTGCACAGTACTGTATTTGTGACTTTACAGGGTCTAGTAAAAAAAAGGGGGAAATTACAAATTATTGTATGAAAAAGTCAGAAGAGGGAGTTAGGTCATGTGATGAGTAAAAAGGAAATGAGAGGGAGGAGGAAATATGATGCTGTGACAGCAGAAAAATAAAAGCTTTTGCGGGAAAGGAAGGCAGGGGTGTGTGAGTCTGATGTGATCAGTTCATGAACAACCGTCAACCCTGCATGTGCATTTGACGTAAATTAGTTAAATTAGAACACCGGAACAGAAGAATGTGTCTCTCAACAGAACAACTCCCTGTTTCTGATCTCACAAATGTACAATGTGCGTCATATGCCACAATAGGGAATCAGACCATTCCAGAAAAAAAAAAAAAAACTTTAGAGTTCTGATATGTTGTTAGTCTCTCATAATTACAACCAATTGTCAATCTCACAATATCAAATCAAACCTCTGTGTGTTCAACATCTGATTCGGATGAACTATCCACTGAGCTGATATTCTCAGAACACCGCAGGTTTGAGATGATATTCACCAATGATCACGTGCGTGAACTCGACAATCGACTACTGTGGGCTTCGACCGAAAACATGAAGCAAATAGATGTATGTGAGCTGGCTGAATTAACATCATTTTTATTCATATCTTTCACATCTACTGCAGTCAGATTGACCGTGGTCACTCTTAATAACACGACTCACATGGCTGTGCACTCGTAATGACAAATCAAGGATGTTAAGAGGCTAAAAGCAGGTTTAGAACTCACCCCATTGAAGTCAACAGGGTGCAAATTTAAAAAGACGATAACACGGTGTAGGCAACACCGATTTTTGTCGTTTTTGTCTGTACAGACAGCACTCCAAATATACAAAAAAATGAGCTCAATGTTAAAACTGACCGGAGTTGTCCTTTAAAGGGATACTCCAGTTTTTTTTTTTTGGAAATAGGCTCATTTTACAACTCCCCCAGAGTTAAGCAGTTGAGTTTTACCGTTTTCGAATCCATTCAGCCGATTTTCTGTTATTTAGAAAAATATCAGTAACCAGACAGTTTCTGGTCTCATTGACCACCATAGTATATTGTTTTTTTTCCTACTATGGAAGTCAATGAGACCAGAAACTGTCTGTTTACTGATATTGTTCTAAATATCAGAAAATTGTCTGAATACATTGGAAAATGGTAAAACTCAACTGTTTAACTCTGGGGGAGTTGTAAAATGAGCCTATTTCCAAAAAAAAGTGGAGTATCCCTTTAAAAGGAACCACGGGCATGTACAATACCAGTTGAAAGTTTACACATGTGACAGAATTGTTCATGATCTTTAAAGACATTTTGATTTGGGCTGTCAAAATTTACGTGAAATAAACATTTTCAGTTTAATATTTTAAAAATAACAATTAACACAGCACCTGTTTTTCTGTCATCCTTTGGCTGCGCTACAGTACATAATCACGTTATCATTCAAGTGCTATTAAACCAAAACACAAAAGTGGCAAAATTGAGTATCCTCGTAAGAATGACCTTAAACTATTTTAAACGAGTTAAATGAACTTGTGTGTCACTTAAAGTGACAGCAGCCTAACAAACCTGTTGCTGTCTGTGTCATTAGCATTAATCTAACAACAAAAGACAAAGAGAAAACCACTCTGCTCCTGACTAAATAACTTTTATACTGTTAATAAGGATATATATCTATATCTACATCTATCATTTTCCTGGTTTTTCTTCACAAAGCAGCAAAATACTAAAACACTCCGTTTTTATCAATTTATGCTCACGATTAGACTTTAAAAAAAATGAAAAATAAAGTGTAAAATGTCTACTTTTTTGTGTCCACTTACAATTGAAACAAAATATAGTGCTATTGTAAAATAAAGAAAATATACAGGGTGTGCTTTCTGCCCCTTTCGCGCTACAGAACTTTTTTTTCTGTATAGCATCATTTTATCGTCGCCGGTAGGAAAGGAGGAGAAGACTGCAAGTTGACTTCTTATTATGTCATCAGACCATATATTAAAAACCTTGTCTCCTCTTCTCCCCACGTGCTGCCACGGCTCATTTTTCCTGCCACATTCTGTTTTTTGTTTTTTTTTTCTGATTTTTGGGAACCAACAGAACGTCCTGTAAAAGGTCTGAAAGTCCGAACCATACAGAAATGCTTTCACACTAGAAACGAACCAAACCTTTTTTCAGTTTGATCCGGACCGAGACTGGTTTCACACCTGTAAAATTGATTCGGACCAAACTGAAAGGTCCAAAAGTCCGGACCAAACAAGGTGTGAAAGTTGTTCCCAACGTCAGCTGTTTCTATAAATTTGTAACTACATTTTGAAAAGATTTAGTTGGACAGAGAATAAGGAAAAATAACTAACAAGTAGCACAACCGAATATAATAAATTATAAAATAATATATAACCAAATAACACTGTTTAAAACAAGTCTCAAACGAACAAGGGAAAAGTTCAGTGGAATTAAAGCACTCATAACTGAGCGGAGAATTTGTGAAATGAGCCATGGGAGATGGAAAATCAGTCCTTGGATACCAAAAGAAACTGTTATTGTTTTTAGATCAGTGAGGTGTTTAAAGCGGGAGGGGTAAGACTCTCTTCCTCTCTTGAGAAAGTGGTGGTATATTGCACAGGTGGCAGTAGTTAACAGCAGGGGTGAACTGATCTGTTTTTACACACTCTCTGTTTGTCTTTCTGCCTTTCACTCCATCTACACTACTAGTGATGCAACAAGCTTAAACGTGTCCACTCAAATCATCTGAGCTTATTACTTAAATGCATGGTATGGATTGCAAACCCTTAAGAACAATTGACATAGTTGTTGTCAGTTGCTTGTTATAAAGCACGCCATCATCTAGTAACAACAGAAAAGAAATAAAAACTACTATTTCGGACAGCTGTGTAGGCGATTGGCTTTCAAGCAGGTGTTGTGGTGATGATTTGCACAGAGAGGAGAACACTGGTAAGTCTGTCCGTTAGAAAAAAAAAACAGTGGCACTAAACACAGCGACAGGAGTGGTAAAACTATTAGGTCAGTGTGTTTGAGAGGGGTAAAGCAGGACTAACGTTATTCTAACAGCTCTCGGGTCATTAACACTCTGTGGGGAAACCAGCAGGAGAGCGTTTCACAAGACCAACCTCAGCACAGACACCTGAACTCGTATCCAGTAAGATACAGAGATGGCAATCTGACCAGTGGCCCATGGATCTCTGTGTGAGAACAGGTCAGGTTTTGGTGAAAGCGAATGGAGATTCCATTTAAATGTCTCATCTGGAAAAACAGATATGCACAGATGTACATACATCATTTTGAGGTTTGAAATACCGTAATGCTAAAATACCGTAAATATACAATGATAGCAAATCACAGTTTTAAAGGTATAATTAATCCAAATTCACCCCCATGCCATCCCAAACCTGTATTTTTTTTTTTTAAATTTCATAATAGAAAAATTAAATGTTTTAAAATATATATATATATATATATATATATATATATATATATATATATATATATATTCATGCCTGCTCCAAATAAAATTAAAAAAAGCTTTACTCAAAGTCGTCTTAAGCTGCATGATACCTTTATTTGGCTGAAATTCAAGTATGTATTTACTAAAAAATATGTACAAAAAAAAAAATCACCTGCCAAATATCTGAAATATTATTGGGAGCCATTTCAGTCAAATAAATGAAATAAAAAAATAAAGTATATCAAATATATAATAACTATAATATATTTTTAAATAATTTTTTCCCAAACCATAAATTCAAATGATGTTAAATTAAAAAATGCAATGAAATAAAGTTTTGAAATCGTATTAGGAGCCACTTTCAATAATAAAAAAAAAAATAATAATAATAAAAATGAATAGAATAACTTTTTATCAATTCAAAGTTCAAAGTTAAATGTCTCTTTCAAGGCTTGGACAATTTGACATGGGTTTTATTGACTACCTTACGGTGTTTGTTGTCCTTGCTGGAGCCTGACAGCCTTGGTCACTATAAACTATCACTTAAAGTCCCTGTAAAGGCAATTCAAAAAAAATATAATAAAATTCTAAACCAATTATAAATGTTAGAAATGTATTGCTAAAACATATTACAAAGACTGTGAACTGTGAAGTACTGAATTGTGGAGTTAGCCCGTTAAACAGTTTTTCACCATTGCTATTTTCTGTATTTTTGGGGCGGGGCTAAAACAGGGCTCGATGAAGCACTGAGCTCATGGACACGCCCCTACTTGATGATGCATCAGTTTGCCGCTCAATCGCGAGTGACTGTCAGTACTATTAGTTATTAACTACAACCTACAGTTTTCTAGCTAGCTATGCCTTCGACACGGAAACGCGTAGGCAACAACCTGGATGCGATCATGTACAAAATGTGTTTCAAAATTTTGATATCTTATTTAATGTACTTGACGGCTTTTTTATCATTCAAATTTGGCTGGGTGGCTAATAACACATTTTTCTGTGGTGTGACAATCTCAGAACACATACTTAATTTTGACTTTACAGGGAATAAAAAACTGCATTATCAATTGAAAAATAATACAGGTTTCTAACGACATGAGGGTCAGTAAACGATGACAGAATTGTCATTTTTGGCTGAGCTATTCCTTTAATGATTAAATGTTACAGACCATTACCCTTCATGAAGAAGTCATTGATATTAAAAGTTGTAATGCTACTCATTTAGCCTGCATTCCTACCAGACGCATGTTAAATAAACACTACAGGTTAAAGTCTATTCCAGAACATTGCTCCTGCTGCATCTGGATTGCTCAGTCGGATACGTTTCAGTCATTTAAGGGAGCCCGAAATGAGCTCCAGCACAATGGTGCCTGTCTCCTGAACCGCAAGCGTTCAGACAGAAAGTTTCTCTGACATTGGCCATTCTCCTCACATCCTGCACATATGCGTGTTTTC